TCTCTCTCTGTCAAATAAATAAATAAAATTAAAAAAAAAAAAAAAGATTTCTCTGTGGGTCACGATGTCAACGACAGCTCTGCCCTTCTTCTACGATGACATAAAATCACCTTGAGGTCACCAGCGCCCACAGTAAGCACAAACCAACACAGAGAACACCTCTCACGCATTCTTACTCCCGCGCATCAGACTTTTAGATTCTGATATTTAATCCCTAAGATTCCTAAACGGACCTGGTTGCTCCGGGCTGGAGCTGAGGGAAGGGCACCTGGCCGGGAGTTCTGGGCCTGCCATTCTGACGGTTCTTCGAAGACATAAGCCATAGCTACATTCTAGGAAGGATTAGAATGACCTTCCCCTTTTCCCTGCCAGGGACCCAGACTTGGTCTCCCATGTTACAGAAGAGAAGGGTGCAAGAGGGGCTTGTCCATAACTGAGCCCTGCCTCAGTGTCCCTGGCAGGACAAAGGTTATTTCAGAAAGGCCTCACAGTCATTTATGACAGCAAATAAACAGACCTCAAGCCCCTTCTAGTGAAGTTCGAATGGAACATCATTGAGGTGATCGGACAGCACGGGAAAGGAACAGATTTTACACATCAGTTGGTAGCAGAGTCAGGAAATATCCTATATGGGGAATGCCACTTTGGAGCTCCCTCCTTTATTTGTAAACAGAAGCCAAAAAGAACTGAAAATACTATCCTTTAAAGGCACTGCCTGAATACTCATCGGCCCCTACACACCTGCTGACTAGTGGCAGTGATAAGGAGTCAAGAGTTTCCAGAATATTCTCTCCAATAGGTAGAGAAGAGAAACCCGATAGCCAGCAGAGGAACCCAATTCAGTTCAACCAATGTTAACTGCCAGACACTGACCAGATGTGGGACCCCAGGATTCCTGTGATCAACCCTCACAAAGATTTTTGAGGATTATCTAAATAAAAGCTTATCCATTGAATTTTGAGAAGGTTCAGAAGGAGCAAAAGGAAGTTTATGTAAATTCCATGCATGAACTGGGTGAGAAATATGGAAAGGGCCTCTGGAGGTGGTCTCTTGGCCATTCTTATGCTCTAAGGAAAGTCCAGGTAAAAATGATGATGGTGGTTTATCCTGTTCTTAATGCTGCATGAAGGTGGCTTGCTGACTTCCTCCCAGCCAACCTATTCTAATTCATAACAATAGTTACAGTCAAAAAGTGTACCTTGGCTTACCCAAATCCTCCTAATTCAAACTAAGATGGTGCCTGGGAGAAAGTTTTTTCTCCATCTTTCTCTCTCTCATTCTTTCTCTTGGTCTGTCGCCCCTTCCCCTCTCCCTTAACTTGTGGCCCCGTCCCCCCATCTTAATTTGTGGCCCTGTAATGACAAGAAAGACTAAAGCTTCTCAGGAAGGAATAAGGGCTCTCAGGGAGGGACAGGGCCCTCCTTTATCTTCAGCTGGAGGTAAGACCTGCCATTCTGTTTCCCAGGGAAGAGATAGGAATAAGTGAGTTCAAGGGGGCTCAAGGCTTTGAACTTCTTTAAGTCGTTTTATTTCTGCAACGAAGGGGGTTATTTCTCTAAATTGCATTATTTTCCAAGAGAGCCTTTTTTCTCCCCCCTACTGATTCTGTTGTCTTATCAGCAACTTCCAAAAGTGTTAACTTCTCTCTCATCTTTTGGCCCCAGAGGAAATCTCAGTGGGAGCTAGAGTCAACAATCGTTGGGCCCTGTTCCCATTTCTCAAACCCCAAGGCAATAATCCATGCATATCAGGAGGGAGCAAGGTCCCATCCAGCCGGGCTGGGTTAATCACTCCTGACGCCCCTCACTGATCATGGCGACCTTTTGTAACTTTTGTGCAAGAGTTTGAGTACGCCTGTTCTCAACCCAAGGGAGAGATAAACAGAACAAGATTTGTCAGGCTCCTTGATCACCAGCCAGCCTCAGGGCAGGTCAGACCTGAGCCCAGATGGTTTAGAACTATGTATAAATTGAGGAAACCAGAGCCAGCTTGGACCTTCTCTACAGTGGCCCTCCAAGTCCATTGTTAAGGTCCTTGGACAGCGACCCCTCCCGAGAGTAAGCCAGTGAACTTTCTCCACACCATTGATCCAGCGTGACTCCGAGCAACCAGCATTACTAGAGGCTGAGGTTAAGGAGGGCTGCTTGTTGATAACAGTGTCGTGCTTTTTTATTCTGTGCACCCCAAGGTTGTACAGCCAGCAAAGTGAGGGCGTTGGGGAAAACTCCAGGCCTTCCCTTGCAAGTAGATAGCACTTTTTATTCTCTTTATCAGAGGGATGTTTCCATGTGCATCAGGCAGGGGGAGTGAAGTCCCAGAGCAGCGAGAACCAGACACTGGTAAGGACAGGGGTTCTCAACCAGGGACAAAGTTCCCCCCAAGGGACATTTAGCAAAGGCTAAAGACATTTGTGGTTGTCACAATTGGGAGGTGCTATGACATCTAGTGGGTAGAGGCCAGGGATGCTGCTAAACCTCCTAATGCACAGGACAGCCCCCCACAGCATGGAATTATCCAGCCCCAAAATGGGCCAGTCTCAGAGCCCACACGTGAATCGGTTACACAAACAGATCCCAACTTGCAACTACCCCAGGAATACCTAGTGTCCAATCAACTCGACGCCAAACTATCCTGCCGCCATGTTAAAGCTGGGAACTCCAGCTTTAGAGGCTGTGATCTTGGGTCTGAACACTGAGTTCATTTCAGTCCCCATCCTGCACAGTTTCAAGCGCCACCTAAGCCTGGTGGCTACGTGGCTGCAGACCATGTGCCACAGGCCGGTCCACCCAAGAAGCAGACATTACTGCACACACCCAAGTATGGGCCCGGCCAGGCATCCACCACGTTCCCCTGCCAAGGCCAGCTTTGCACCTCCCAGGGCTGTGTCCTGGGGCCCGTGTTTGAGTCTGGGTGCCTGCTGCCTCCACCCCGGGTCTCACTGGGATTCTCCACAGCAGCGGCTGTCCCTGAGACTAACCGCCCACTTTCCGCCCCTTGCAGGAGGCTGCGTGTGCTTACGTGTTGATCGTGACCGCTGTGTACTGGGTGTCTGAGGCCGTGCCTCTCGGAGCTGCAGCCCTGGTGCCTGCCTTCCTGTACCCGTTCTTCGGAGTGCTCCGATCCAGCGAGGTTAGACCATTTGTGGCCCAGCTCCCTGCTCAGGTCCCTCCTGGGCCAGTGAAGGGGGCTCAAGGTGAAGGGAGAGCCCCAAAGCACTTGAGGAAGGGGCTTTCTTCACCCTCTGGAACAACCTCTTAGCACTAAGCCTTTGCACCTGCTATTCCAGACCCTGAGTTCCTCTCCCATGACCCTCATCTCCCTCAAACTGCCTCTTTCAGGAAGCCTTACTTGACTGATCACATCCAATTGCTCCTTCAGCCCGAAACCCTCTAGGAACTGGTTGATTGGCACCTATAAGCAACCTGCTGTTGACCTTTCTCAGTCTTTTGTATATCCACTTAAACTATAAGGCAGGAATCAAAGGTAGGAATCGGGTTTCCCAGGTCTTTGGAATCTCATTATAAACCTGAGTCCGTGTATAGTAGGTGCTCAATAAATGTGTGTTGACAGAGAGACTCATCATGTTTTCCTGAATCCTGACAATGTTTTCATCCGCTACGCCTAAAAAAAAAAAAAAAATTCTATTCCTTCTTCCCCAACTCAAGATTACTGCATATTCTTTCCTTGACCTCTGTCTACCCAGATCTTGCCCTCTCTGTCCACTCTCTCTCTCTCTATGGCATCCTTAAAAGCTCAACCAGAAATTGTCAATTATCAAGCCCAGGCTGTGGTCAGATTTCAGGGCAAACACTTAAACCAGCCACAAACGGGAAAGAAGAAAAACACAACCAGAACCCAGAAGCAAGATGAAAGGTGGTCCTCATTCATTAACACCTGGTTCTATTTAGACTGTTATAGCACTTGGTCTCTGCTTAGAGTTTCTGATAAAGATCGAATGGTAGAGATTAAGGACAGAGGCACACAAGAAAGACGAAAGGGAACTGATGTTTGCAGGCCTACTAGGAATCAGGCACTGTACTGGAAGTACTCTATCAGTTATGTAATACTCCTGAGATCTCCACAAGGTGGGTGTTGATATTTCCACTCTATAGATGAGCAAAGAGGCTCAGAGAGTTAAGAAACTGGCTCAAAATCACAAGGTAGGAAGTAGCAGAACTGGATTCAAACTCCTATCTATTAGATTTCAAAGTCTATATTCTTGCCTTCTATTCTACCAGATGGACTCAACTAGCCAGTTTGTTTGTTTGTTTGTGTTTGGGACATTTGGGTTTTTGGTTTTCGTTGGGTTTTTTGTTGCTGTTGTTTTATTCTGTATTGTTTTTGTTTTGGGATGGGAGGGTGGGTGGCAATGAGTAGCTGTAGTAGCCTTAGTTGTTCCATAAAGGATGGGATCCCCCAAACCATCAGCAGTGCTTTTATTCTTGGAGATGGGTACAACACCAATATCCTGGAGACCCTCATAAAAGCTAGCCTGTGACCTGCATCACCAGGCAGTTGCTCCAAAGTGTCCCCTTCTTTTGTGGAAACAAGAGTAGGTAGTTTGGTCTGTGTGCCTGCCTAAAAGAACCAGCAACCTTAAACACGACTTTTCTTAAGAAAAGTATTTAAACTTATTCTGCACATTTCTATTTTTATTTTTTTAAAGACTTTATTTATTTGACAGAGAGAGAGAGAGAGAGAGGGAACACAAGCAGGGGGAGTGGGGGAGGGAGAAGCAGGCTTCCCGCAGAGCAGAGAGCTCAATGCAGGGCTCGATCCCAGGACCCTGGGACCATGACCTGAGCCGAAAGCAGGAGCTTAGTGACTGAGCCGCCCAGGCGCCTCTGCACGTTTCTCTTTAAAAGTGAGAAACCAGAAGCCCATGAGTCAGGGGGTGAAAATAGAGGGCAGAGAAAAAAAAAATGACATTATAGAAAGAATTGAATCTTAACTAACATTTAACGTGAGCTAACTATTAATTAAAAGATTTCTATCTTTGTGTTTCACTTTGGGGCAGCCCCAAAGCCGACAGTACGGCTTAGCCTTGAAGGAGATGATGTCCCTACTTCTCCAAGGGCTGCCTGCAGCAGGAATCCCCCAGAGGGGTGGCCCAATCAGCGCCTCTGCATGGTAGAGATGTTGCTAGGCAACCATTCATCCAAGGGCCCGCCCCTCTGCACAGCCAGGCAGGCCAGACCTAGAAGGCATCTACTGAGTCAGTGGTTTGTGGGGGTAACATGACTTTGTGAGGGGAACAGGAAGACTGTCCGGTGAAGGATTAGGCATTGTTTTGCTGGGGCTGGAGATGGAAAGCACTGGAAGAGCCAGAGGGCACGTCTTATCATTTGAAGTGAAAACTCCTGCGCCATCTGCCTGATAAAGTAGCAGTGCCTGGCAATGATATTTAACAGCTGGGCTATAGGAAGCAGCTTCAGCCAAAGATAGTCTGTTGAGTGGCTTTTTAAACTCAGAGTAGAGGAAAATGCCGATAAGTAGAGGACATGGCTTATGCCCCTTTGTGAGCCACTCAACTTTGCAGATGGAGACCTAGTCCACCACCACTAGCCACACCCCTCCACCAGCATGTGCCCGGGCTCCCCAAGAAAAGGCGGGCTGGGGGTCTGCAGAAGCCCCCTTTGCAGACAAATCATCTACTTGTCACTCCCCAAACCCACCTTGTGCTTGCCTAGCGTTCCCTTGACTCGAAGTTCTCTCCAATTCCCTCCACCTTTAAAATCCTGTCCAGGGGCACCTGGGTGGCTCAGTCCATTGAGCGGCTGCTTTCGGCTCAGGTCATGATCCTGGGGTCTTGGGATTGAGCCCCACATCCGGCTCCCTGCTCAGCGGAGAGCCTGTTTCTCCCTCTCCATCTGCCTGTCACTCTGCCTACTTGTGCTCTCTCTCTGTCTCTCTCTCTGTCAAATAAATAAATAAAATCTTTAAAAAAATAAAATAAAATAAAATAAAATCCTGTCCAATTACCCTCTGCAGTGAAGCCTTTCCAAAGACCTTAGCTAAAAGTGTTGCTCCCTTCCCTTGGAACCGATCTGATGTCTTTAGCCTTTCAGTGGTACATCAGATATACCTGATAGTAACTTTCTGTGGACATGTCCTCTCTCCACAAAGATTCGCAGCCCCTAGGATTTGCGGTGTCTACGGCCTGCATCCTTGTGCTGGCCCTCAGTGAAGGCTTTTTGGTTGCAGGGTTTCCGGACGGTGTGCAATAGTGTGCTCTGCACCTGAAGGAAGGCATGTGGGTAGGATCGGTGTGACTCTGGAACCGTGGCCTCTGTCCCTTGTGTTACTCATTCAACATTCAGAAAAATATTTCCTGAGTTCTGTATCTACCATGGACCACCTGGGACATTACAGGGACCCTGAAGGCGACAAAAATGAAACACGTAATTTCTGCCCTCTTGAGACTCACAATAATGCTTCTCAGTTTCCCACTGCTGGCTTGGACGTATGCATACAAATGGTTCATTTTTATGGTGATGACTTGATGGTCAGCAGGTGTTAAGAGTTTGTTGTGTGCAAAGCTTAGACTTCCTCTCTCTGTCTTGCTGAAAAGAGATACAAAATGATAGACTCCTGACCTTGAGAAGTATCTATTCTAAAAGAGAGAAGGCACAAACCAAATGGGAAAACACAGAAGAGCCATGCGGTAATGCCTCATTTTCTGGCACTGCGGAGGATTCACCCAATTCCCCAAGAGGGATGTTCTAGATAAATGAAATTTACCCCACCAGGTGCCCAAATTTTATGTTGACCACTTTTTGATTGACGTCTTTCTAGAAGGCTTTATAATTTCCCCAGCCTTTTAAATGGAATTTGTTGAATACAAATTAACTTTTTCTTTGGAGCCTTCACAATTTCCAGGGGAAAAAAATTCTCAATCAAAGGAGCCAATGTGGGCTGGATGATAGCACAGTTGAGTAACTTGAGTGCTGGCCCAACAGCTGAACCTGAAGAATCTTGAGGAACATATTGGCAGTGGACTAGAGAGAGAGCCCAAGTGAAAATCTAAAAGACACATTATCAGATCTGCAGATGACTCAGAGCTAGATGGGCCAACTAATGAATGATGACAGAAACAATGCTGATAGGATGACACAAAAGCTTGGGACTGACAAAATGATGTTTTATAGGGATAAATGTTAACAGTGTGTGTGGAAAAGACCTTGGCTTTTAGTTGAGTACATATGCAGCATGAATCATCTATCAGCCCATTATGGCTGCCAAAATTTGGAGCATTTACCATATGCCAGGCACCATGGGAGGTCCTTTACATGCTCCACATCACTTAATCCTCTGTAAAGTGGTGTTTAGTTCTGTTTTTATGGAGGAGTTCAGAAATGGAAGTTCAGAGAGGTTAAGGAACTTACTATGGAGTGGAGCCAGGACTTGAACCCAGGAGTGTGTGCCCCCATTAACCATTGGCCAATATGTACTGAAGTCTGCTGAGTTACTAAATGTATGTGCCCAGAGCATTAAATTCTAGATCAGGGGCTCATACAGTGGGGGGTAGCCAAGATGTCCAAAATCTAGAATGTGAGTCATATGGGGAAGGAAGAGAAGACTCAAGAGGGACATGATTTTTGGCTTCTGCAGCTCCACACACGAGGCTCAGGGGATCAAACCAGAACCAGAGTCCAAGCACCATAAGAGAGACCCGCTCCATGTGAGGGAAGATGCTGGAATGGGCAGCCACATGGGGTCTGGGTATTCCTGTTCGTGGGAATGCAAGCCAGGCAACCATGTCAGGGATGTTAGAGGTAGATTTCATGCCTTGGGAGAGGGGATGGACTCAAAGGGCCCTTTGACTTTGGGATTCTATGACCTTCTTGTTGGCATCCTGCCACGTCTTCCCTCTGCTGGTATACAGAGCTCAGGCCTGGATTTTAGGTTTGTTCTTTATTTTACCTCCATTGTGACTCTCACAACTATCATTGTATCTGCCTCGGGAATGGTCTATGCCCTTCTAAGGCACCGCCATAGCCAGGGACAATCATGTTAGCTAAGATTTACTGTTTCTAGGAGGGTGGGAGCGAGAGTGTTCTCTGGGGCAGTAAAAGGCATGGTTTGAATGCTGGGGCTTGAGAACAGTCTCCAGGGTGTCCAGGGTCAGGAACTACTTCCAATAGAGGTGACATCTGCTTTTCTATCTCTCCCCTGCCCAACACACACTCACAC